GAAAGAAAGAAAGAAAGAAAGAAAGAAAGAAAGAAAGAAAGAAAGAAAGAAAGAAAGAAAGAAAGAAAGAAAGAAAGAAAGAAAGAAAGAAAGAAACTGTACAAATGTAGATGTGAAATTAGCAATTAGCAAAATCCTTAAATTTATAAGAATGGAATGCCTGAATCATATTTCTTAGCTTTTGTTTTTACCAAGCAATGTCAGTATGGATATGGGTTTTAAGTTCATTACTGGATTTTATAAAAGTGTAACATTTAAAAATATATGCACTATAAATTCCAAAGAGCCTGAAATTTTTTGTTGTTTTTCTTTACTTCTGCCAACTGCCTAGACAGGTCTTGGCAGTTTTTGGCAAGATTTTGGAAGTGGTTTGCCATTGTTTCAGTGGTGGGATCCAAAAAAATTTACTACCTGTTCTATGGGGATGGCTTGGTGGGCGTGGTGTGCCTTGGTAGGTGTGGCTTGGCAGGGGAAGGTTGCTGCAAAATCCCATTCCCTCCCCACCCCACTAACCTGCTTTCCAGCTCAGTTCTCCTGTGCAGGGCAACAAAAGATCAGCTGGGACTTGGGAAGCAGTGAACAGATGGGGGTGGGACCAGTTAGAGGTGCTATTTGACAGTTCTCCAAACTATTCAAAATTTCCACTACCGGTTCTCCAGAACCAGTCAGAACCTGCTGAATACCACCTCTGCCTTCCTTCCTTCCTAAGACTGAGAGAGAGTAACCACCCAGCTGGCTTTGTGCCTAGGGTGGGCTTCCCAGTTGATCTCCCAGTTTCAAGCCTGTTGTCTTAACCACTACACCAACCTAGGTCTCCTTTAGTTATTACCTCTGTTTTAATAGATGTGCAACAATAGAATTGCCTGAACCATATATGTAAACGGGTACAAGTATTCTATTGTCAAATCTTCAGGAAATAAGGATAAACTTTCTGACAGTGAGAACAATCAACCAATGGAACAGCTTGCCTTCGGAAGTTGTGGGAGCGTCATCACTTGAGACTTTCAAGAAGAGATTGGACTGCCATTTGTCAGAAATGGTGTAGGGTCTCCTGCTTGGACGGGGGGTTGGACTACAAGGTTCCTTCCAACTTTGATTATCTGTAAATCAGTCCTGTGAATGTATCCTGTCTAGTTGTGGTTTCTGATTATGCTGGAGTACAATCCCATAGAGGGCCCTTCCCTACAATCAGCTGTAGTCTTGTCTATCCACCCAGGTTTATGCTGTGCAAGTAAAAAAAAAAGCATATTATATTCAGTATTGCATTGAAAGAAGTAAAGTCTTAACTAATAGGGCCAAATTCCTGAATTTGAGGCTAACCTCTATCACCTTGTGCCCCTTAAATGTATTTGTTTACTTTATGGAAACAGGTAATTATCAGAATAGAGCTATAAATAACAAGA